AGAGTTTCTTCTGACATCCATTTTGGTCTTTTCTTCCTCTTCTGTCTTTGTAATGACCGTTTGCACTCTTCCTGGATGATGCATTTGACATCCTCCCACAATTTATCTGGTCTTTGCTCATTAGTGTTCAAGGCCTCAAACCTGTTTCTGAAATGATTCTGAAATTCAGGTGGGGTAAAATCAAAGTCATATTTTGGCTCCTGTGGATTTGGTTGTAGATATATATACTCTCTCCCTCCCCCCCCCCAGTTTCCAATTTTATGACTGAAAATACTTTGGATCAGTAAAGTTCTAGGCCTTGACTCTATAACCCAAAAGGAGAGGTCAGAGAAAGCATTTAACCCAGACCTCGTAGCTTCAAACTAACCTTTTCTAAACCCAGCATTTCCTGCATGCCTCCTGTCAGCATTGTAAGGATCAACGAAGATAATGACTTAAAGTGTGATGTCTTTTTCTCATTAAGGAAGTAAGATTACCGAATAAGGAAACAATACCCTTTCATTGCTTGTGTATCTTACCTTCTCAAAGAGAGTAAAGAACAATACCCTAAATAGATGTGTCAATCCAAATTTACATTTGGCTCTTAAAAATGGAGAGTCAGACACATATACAGAAATTTAAAACACGTGTTTTTCAGCTGTCACCTTCCTCTCTTTCTATACTTAATATGCCCTTTAGGTGACCTCTACCTTCCTTTTCAGAGTCATTGCTCAGTTGAAGTTTATTGCTGTGATTAGCAGCAGGAAATCAGGGTAGATCCCATATCATTAACAAGTATTTATTAACTGATGCTCTGGTAGGAAATGTTTGGCATTAAGTAATGCTATTGTGTTTAACATCCAGTCAGCACTGACAATGCTAGGACAATGCCAATACTTGTGCTAAAAATATCTGTAATCTAAAAAAAAAAATCTGTAATCTCATGGTGCTATTGCTGGGTATCTTTGAATCCAGTATGACTCATAATTATCCTATAAACAAAAGATTTGAAACCTATTCTGTCACACTTACTGATGTTATTGTTGTTATGTGCTGTAGAGTCGCTTGTGAGTCATAGCGATCTATGTACAAAAGCCCTAAACTGTTCTGTCCTACGCCAATCACAGTCTCTGACACTGTAATCCCCATTACTGCAGTCAATAAATCAATCCACCTCATAGAGGACCTTCCCCTCCTGTGCTGTTCCTCCACTCTCCCAAGCATGATGTCCTTCTCCAAAGACCAGTCTCTCCTTACAACATGTCCAAAGTATGTTAGATGGGCCCTCAGAATCCTTTCTTCCAAGGAGTCACCTGGTTTAACCCTTTCCAGGATGAATCTATTTGTTTTCCTGGCAGTCCATGGTACTCTCAATACTCTTCTCCAGTACCACAGCTCAAAGGCATCCATTCTCCTTTTATCCTCCTTGGTCATTGTCCAACTCTCTAATGCAGAATAAGTGATCGCAAAGACCATGGCCTGTATCAGATGCACCTTAGTCTCCAGAGAGACACC